CATCTATCACTATGATAAAGACTAGAGAACACAGCAATTGTGTGAGAAAAAAGGTTGTTGAGCTGCACAAATCAGAGGAATAATTAACAAGTGTAAAGCATCTGGAGATGTTAAGAATCTGCTGGGAAGAGGACGTATGTATTGACCCCGTGCACAGTGAGGATGATGGTTTGAGTGGCCAAAGAATCTCCAAGGATCACAGATGGAGAATTGCCGGCATTAGTTAGGTTTTGGGGTCAGAACGTCTCCCAAACTACAATCAAACACCACCTACATAACCCTATGTTCTTTGCGGGGTGGTTGCCAAAACACAAAAAAGCCTTGGCTGTCAAGGACCAACAAACCCAGTTTGCCAGACGTTACTGCAGTTTTCAGTGGGATCATGTTTTATGGTCAGGCGAGATCAAAATAGAGCTTTTGGGCAACAAATACCAGAGGTGGGTATGGTGTAAACACAAAGACAGCCGTGCACAAAAACTACTTCATCCTCACTGTGAAGTATGGTGGTGGGTCTGTGATACTGTTGGGCTGTCCTTCTTCCAAAGGTCCTGGACAACTTGTTCAGATACATCGTATCATGCACTCCATCAAGTACCAACAGATATTAAATCAAAACCTGACTGCCTCAGTCAGGAAGCTTAAACTGGTCTGTGGTTGAATCTTCCAGTAAGACAATGATACAAAGCACACCTCAATCAATACAGAACTGAAATGGATCACTGACCACAGAATCAAGGTTTTGCCATGGCCGTCACAGTCCCCTGACCAAAACCCCATAGAAAACCTGTCGGATAAGCTGAAGAGTGGAATGGTCTCAGATCCCTTGCCATGTGTTCTACTCTCCTTAAGCATTACAGTAGAAGATTAAGAGCTCTTGTCTTTGCAAAAAAAAGATAAGATTGGGGGGGTGCCAACAATTAGATTTGACAATTAATTTTCAAATGTATTTTAAATATATTTACATATGTATTTCCAAGTGTAATATTTCCCCATACATTTTAAAATAAATGCATTTTAAAATATATTTGGTTTATATGGCAGTACTTTCTGAAATACATTTTAGTGCTGAGAATGTATTTCGGCATGGACTGCAATGCATTTTAAAATGTATTTCAAATACATAAAAATGCATGCCATATATTTTTTTTTTTTTCCACATGGGTCAGCAATAAAGAAAGGTTTTACAGCCCGTTTTGCTCATGTTTAGCAGAGGTGCCAATATTTGTGGAGGGCACTGTATCTAATTTTTCCACTAAAGACATTTGTTTGGTGGTGCAGTTTTCAGAGAGGAACAAGGTCGACAAGTGCCACAAGCTTTTCTATGAGAATTACAAATGTTAGACTACCACTGTTTGTCCAGACTGCCAATGAAACACAACATAGAGCAGCTGCAAATGCAGCAAATGCGTTAGTAAAGGAACATGAAATCCAAAGGAAGTCTGCATCTTATGAACTCTTATACATTTGCGCTTGCAGAGATCCTCTCTCTGCCTCTTGGATCTGTATATGCTAGTTCTTACTACATTGTCATCATTTCTTCATCAGTATAATGCTGATTTCGCATTTTAAACTTAAACAATGAGCCTGTGTATCTGATGTTAATACGTAAAGACATATGACGTGGTCTTCTGTGAAAACCTCTGTGAAATTCAGAACGACACCACTGACTTTTAAACTATTATTTCAGGCTTTACAGGGCAACTCAGATCAGCAAAGTTAATGTTAGATGACCTTGTTGGGTGACTTGTCTTGAGATCCTTTGTAGTCATGCAGGTAATTCTTAAAGAATAGCTTGTAGCCCTTGTTAAGCTTGTTGCTCTTAATATATCAGAAAAACTGCTTGACCAAAAGAACGTCTTTTGTGGAAAAATTAGATACCTTAATGAGAATGTACAAGATTCACGTTCTCTTTTGTAAACACCAACGTTGCTGTAATGTTTTCCCTACAATGGCAACATCCACCGCATCAAATCCAAAAAGTTGAAAATAGTCTATTTTGCTAGGGCACTGTTTCTGTTAGAACTTGTTAAATATTACAATCCCATTTTCAAAAAAGTTGGAATGCTGTGCAAAATGTAAATAAAAACAAAATGCAATGATGTGCAAAAACCCTATATTTAACTGAAAATAGTACAAAGACAACATAACAAATGTTGAAACTGAGAAATTTGATTGTTTTTTGAAAAATATTTTGAATTTGATGCCAACAACACGTTCCAAAAAAGTTGGGACGGGGGCAACAAAAGGCTGGTAAAGTTGTGTAATGCTGTAAGAAACACCTGGTGGTTGATTGGCAACAGGTCAGTATTATGATTGGGTATAAAAAGAGCATCCCAGTCTTTCAGAAGTAAAGATGAGGGGTTCACCACTCTATGAAAGACTGCATGATCAAATAATGCAACAATTCAAGAATAACATTTCTCAACAAAAAATAGCAAAGAACTTTTGCTTTTCATCATCTACAGTACATAATATCATTAAAAGATTCAGAAAATCTGGAGAAATCTCTGTATACAAAGAACAAGGCCAAAAACCAATACTGGCTGGCTGTGATCTTTGGGCCCTCAGGCAGCACTGCATTAAAAAAAGACCTGATTCTATAGAGGAAATCACTGCATGGGGTCAGAAACACTTCTGAAAAACACTGTCTATGAAAACAGTTTGTCACTGCATCCACAAGTGCAAGTTAAGACTCTAAAACGCAAAAAAGAAACCACATATAAACAGGATCCAGAAACGCTGCCACCTTCTCTGGGCCTGAGCTCATTTAAAATGGACTGAGGCGAAGTGGAAAAATGCCCTGTGGTCCAACAAATCAACAACTGAAATTCTTTTTGGAAATCATGGACACTGCATCCTCCGGGCTAAAGACCACTCAGCTTGTTATCAGTGCACAGTTCAAAAGCCAGTATTGCTGATCGTATAGCGGTGCATTACTGCACATGGCATGGGTGACGTGCACATCTGTGAAAGCAGCATTAATGCTGAACAATATATACGTTTTGGCAACACATGGTGCCATCCAGACGACGTCTTTTTCAGGGAAAGCCTTGATTATTTCAGCAAGACAATGCCAAACCACATTCTGCATGTATTACAGCAGCATGGCTCCATATTAAAAGAGCCCGGGTGCTAAACTGACCTGCCTGCAGTCCAGACCTGTCACCACCAAGAACATTTGGCGCATTATGAAATGAAAAATACAACAAAGGAGACCCTGAACTGATGAGCAGCTGAAATCCTATGTCAAACAAGAACGGGAAACATTTCACTTTCTAAACTACAGCAGTTGGTCTCCTTAGTTCCCAAATGCTCAGAGAGTTTGTTAAAAGAAGAAGTGATGAAAAACAGTGGTAAACATGCTCCTGTCCCAACTTTTTTGGAACATGTTGTTGGCATCAAATTCAAAATGGGCATATAGTTTTCAAAAAACAATCAAATTTCTCAGTTTCAACATTTGATATGTTGTCTTTGTACTATTTTCCTTTAAAATTATGGCTCACATGATTTGCATATCATTGCATTTTGTTTTTATTTACATTCTGCACAGCGTCCCAACTTTTTTGGAAATGGGGTTGTATACATACTAACCATGAAAATGTTTAATGTGTACATTTGAGCCACGTCGCCCATCCCTAAGTCCAAATCATTTCAAGCATACTTTGCCTAGTTAATATTACCCGAGTGCTTTTGAGGAAAATTCGGCAATAAATTTGTTTTTAATGGTTTTCGAATTTCAGGGTACTGAAAAGTTCAGATCAGATTTGCGCATTAAAAGTGGTTTTTGAAAGTAGCCATTTTAACACAGTAGCACACTTCCATGCACAGAAACTGGATCCAAAACTCTTCAAGAAGGCAAAGTGGTCTAGACAGCCGCTGCAATTGTCAGTCAACTTGCGGTTGCTGGGACAACAAATTGCTGCTAAGGCATAAAATCTCCTGTACAGTGGGTTTGGAATGGAGCTCGCTGCCCTACATCATTCTCTCATCTGGTAGAAATTAGCCTTCTTAAGGCACTACAGACAACATATGGCCTCAGTGTATATCAGCGAACATGATCTGTAAAGTAAAACTCAATTCAGATCCTTCAACTAAGACGTTCACATACCCCACGGGATATACATACCCAAGAGAAGGCTTGAATCTAAGTATATACGTCGTACATCATTAGATAACTTTTTTTTGTTTGAGTGGTGAAATCTGACCATCTGGACATGTCTTTAGCCAAAAAAGGCATCAAATAAACTAAGACTGATGGGACTATGATCTGCTAAGTGCAGGTTTCAAAATTTGGAAAAAAAAATCTACCACAGAAAAAGCTTCTTTCTCTAAAACAATTCTTCAAGACAGATTACATCCTACTGATGAATACATCACTACATCTCAAGATGTTTAGATTTGTGAGTTGTTTTCGTGCCAAGAGGCCAAAAAAGGCTTTCAGATTATTGCAAGACATCTACTGAGATATCCTGCACCTCATGGTCAATGTCTGAAAGCCGTCTTTTATGATACAAAAAATGTATGAATGAAACATAATTTACAAGGCTGTGTTTCGCAAGGTTTCAAGCTCTCCAAAAGAATACAGAAAACATATGCCATTATAATGGTCATGACGATAATATTTGGAGAAACGTCCTGTTTCTAAGGAACAATATGGCTGCCTTATGTCAAATCACAAGGAAAAAAAAAGTGCGGACGAGACATCCGGCATTAAAACACAAATATTCTGACAAACGGTGGAAAATTTCTGACATAAATCAGCTGCTTGGAGAATAAACACGCAGAGTGTTCAGTTTTCCTTTCGCCTAAACATCAGACAACAGTAATCAGTAGAATACATCATATATCCATGTCTGTTTACTGTTCCCGTTTACTAAAAGATGTATAAACAGAAACAGCATATATTTTCACATCAAACTTCACTGGATTGCATGCATGTTGCCAAATACGGCTTACAGGCCATATAAGGAAGACTAGAATGGGGAAGAGGGTGTTCATACCTTTGTATCCTAAGACAGCCACGGCTATAGTAAGCAAGGCACACAGGACATACAGGAGTGCAATGGCTGCTCTCAGCGCCCAGTCATTCTTACATTTAGTGCATTCACTCCCCTCCTGGATACCTGCAAGAGAAAGAAGACAGCACAACATCTCAGATGATGCTGGACAGCAGGACTGATGAAAATGTAGCTTTTACTAAATCACTCGATGCCTGGAACTGGAGCCTGTACGGCTTTTGGTTGTTCTGCGAAGCTGTACACATGCATGGTGCATTACTTAACTGCTTCATTTAAATGCCAAGTTTCAGAGGCCAAGAGTAGCACAGAGGACACCTAGGACCTGATATGAACTTTCCTTGGCTACAGCACTGTGTCGCCTGTTCGAAGATGTAGAAAGCTTGCAAAAGCAATACACTGGCAGGTCACATTCCCAGCATTTATATTTTTGTGAGGAACAAAACAGAAATCAGCTTTTTACCATACTGATCTAAACTGATTTGCTTGTGAATAAATGGTGTCTTTTCTTGTTTTAATCAGCCACACCAAGACTACCAAGCCAGAAAGGCTTTACAGTTGTGCTTCTAGTATGGAGAGATTATTAAGCAGGCTTTACTAAAGAGATTAACTGAGTTCACTGTCAAATCTTACTTATGACAAAGTCCTCGTGAAAATGAATATTCGGATTTTAGATATATCGCATATGTTCTGCTCAAAATAATAAATTGATGATAGAATGAGTCAAGAATGGAATCAGCAAGTTTTTGCTCCAAACACACAACCAGCAATCAGCCAATTTAGTATTTTGATTTTGACCAATATTTGGTAAGATTTTATGGCATAAATGATGAGTCAGATAAGTGCACTCGTGCTGTATTTGAATGCTGCTGCTACACCTACTAGTGCTGATAATATCCAATTTTGACAATACTGCAGGTTGCTAATATTGCTGATAAGGCACCAATAATTAGCGCTTTATTCTGCCACAGTGCCACCCAGATGCGAATTTCAGATCTCAAAATGATAGGACAATTTTTTTGATTGCTGTGCCACTTGGCAGCACAATTCGAAGTATGACAGTAATTCACGCTGAATATGTGAAGCTGAACATAAAACATCAGAAAGAAAAGTACTGCAAAAATATATAAAATATACCCAGACATAACCTTTAGCATGAGAATAACATGTTATAATACAAAAGAAACTTTTTTTCTGCAGAGAGCTGATAAAAAAATTAGGCAAATAAACGGTGATAAACAGAAACCTGTACGTTTCTGCTGTTTGAGTTTATGTAGTGTAATAATTGAGAAATGACTATCATATCAGTCAGTAAAGCACTGTTTAAAGTAAAATTAAAGTGTAAAATCTTAATATTAAATTATATCTGGCGATATTTTTGGTTATCAGAATTTTTAGCCTGGTAAAATTGATATCATTATCGGTCACAAAATATTCGTATCGGTCAGGCCCTAACATCCACACCAAAAGCCTTTTACTTTCAACATAGCGTTTTATTTGATTCACGTTATTTAAACAGACAACTGATAAAATGAAAAAATTAGTTTGACCCATTAAAGAGCAAACAAAGTTATTTTATTGTAACTTTGGCTAACAGAAAGTGGTAGAAATGTGCTAGTGTGTTTTCTGTCTCCATTGAGATAAATACAGACACTTTCACTGTAAAGAAACTGTAAATGGAATCAGCAGTAAAACTCAGCATTGGAGCATCTCTAATAATAAACTGTTCATATTTCTGAAGACATTGCCACAGGAAAAGTTTGTGTCTCTAAAATAATTCATCAGGACAGAGCAAATCCTTGTGCATTTTACAGCGATTAATCATTTCAGAACTTCAAGATGTTTAGAGTTCCTGTGAGACATACAGCTTTATGCCTGCTCAAAATACTAAAACAAACTCTTCAGATTTCAGACGGACAGCATTAGGTTCTGCTCAAAGTAATAAAACAATCTAATCTGATTTCACATTTTAGAAGAAACTGTTTTTTTTTTATTCTTCTCTGAAGAAACAATCATAAGAAACTAACGTGATGTTGAAAGAATGTTGAGAATAGAATTCTTTAATTCTATTCTCAACATTCTTTCTTCTGGATTGCCACTGCAGTAAACTTCAAAATGTATACATAACATTGTTTCTACAGGGTATCTCATGCAGACGCAGTGTGGGCTGACTGAGCGGGCAGGGGAGGAGTCCTGTGGAGCTAAGACTGATGCAGTCAGCCTTCAGCAAATAAACATCCCCAGGAGCACAGTCTCCTCCACAACACATTTAGACATTCCACAGCTGGCCTTAAATCCTCCCCCCTCAAATTTGATCAGAATGTGGCCCCTCATCAGCAGATGGTCACAGTGGCAGCCCTGGCATCCAGGTTTGTGCTGTAATGAAAGCCCCGGGAGGGAGATGAAGGGGATGAAGGGAGCAGGTCATGGGGGGCGGGGGGGCGGAGACACGTCCGCAGACCCACACATCTGTGTAAACAATGTGGTCGAGCGCCTCAAAGGGCCTGGCCACAGCCCCGGATGTGGGAACTGCGGCCCCCAGCGGCCCTGAGAGCTCTGTGAGGTGGTCCGGGTGGTCAACGAACAGTAGTTTGATTATGTACATACTACAATTGTGATATCCTTTGCAATACTTAAAACGCACTATTTTTACATATTGTATATCGTTGCTGTTGAAAACCTTCTATCTCCAAAATGGTCATTTTACAAGAGAAGGAAAAACATTGTTAACTTTCAATGGAAAGATTTTATTTCAAATAAATTTGGAACATTTCTCTTGGTCCGATCATCATGAAATGTTCAGCTGGCATTTTCGAATGATATAAAAATGGAGGTGCAAGGTTTTTCCTGAAGACCGTATGGAAAATATCATTTTTATTTAAAGAAAACATGTTTACTTCCGTTTTTGGTCCATTGAAAGCAAACTATTTTCCCAGGGATGCTTTCCATTCTTCCAGCACACTTTGATCTAGTGTGTGAATCAGTCTATTGAACTGCACACTCCCACATTAACACTGTTTGTTAATATAGTCGATGCAATCCAACAGAGCATCAATGCATGACATGCAGAACATTTAAGGGCAGGTTTCCTAACATTTTGCGCCAACGCAAACTCTTTTGTTGTTATGAAGTGACTATGGTCACCCATAACAAGAGCAAAAGGACAGGCGATGCTCTTTGTGCTTATGCCTCATTGTGTGTGCATTTATAAGAGTTTCCCTCTCTAACCCAAATACTGGAAGAAGATTATTATATTATTATGAATCACCTACTTCGATTTAGGAGACTGATAGGAAATACTGACTGTGTGCTATTTAATGGCTGTGAAAAGCTTTTTCTTTTTAGCACTAATGTAGCAGCTGTTGTTTGTGCTCAGAGACGGAGAAAAAAGAGAGTGAATGCTTGCCATGTCACTTCTTAAAAAACCTAAAACCAAACTGCTAGGAAAAAATAATGTTTTAAGCTGTGGGTTACACTATGGGTAGACTTTACAGCATTCATCAAACTGGCCTAAATTTTCTCAAAATGATTACTTATTATGTAAAAAGCAATCAGAAACTTTCTTGACATCTACTCATTATTTCGACATTATCAGTCAAAATCATGAAAAAAGAGTTTTCCAAGGCTGTCTGTAGGATGTACATCCGCTCTGTTCCTAAGTGATACATGCAAAAATCCTGAAACCTGATCTTGTCAATTCTGATCCAGATTTCACTCATTTACTTACACAGCCATTTCAGGAAATGCTTACAAGCTGATTGTTTGTCTAAACACAGAAATTTGAGTTAGAGGTCAGGGAAAAAAGCTAATCTGATTTGAGAATTACAGCTTGCTGTCCAAACGTTGTATATAAACACAGAGACAAATCCACACACTCGCTAACAGAGAAACACATGCACGTCCACACACACTCACTCACAGCTCGCTTTAGGTGAACATCCTGTAGAGGACAGCCATTCTCCATATGTGAACTTTTACTACAAGGCTTTGGGCTTTGCCCGCAGAGGCTACTATGAGGCCAGATGTGCCGGTCAGCAGACCTGGCTAGGCCAGGAAATTCCCTGAGAGTAAATAAATACTGGAGCTGCCTGTAAGCAGTTAAGGTATGACAGAACTAGAGACAGTCATTTCAAACATGTTAGTTGTTTTGAATGAACAGTATTTGAATATCCCAGGGAGTGAAACATACAAGGTTTAACAACTGTTTACTGCATGTAGATAATGTATAATTGTGATTTTTCTGACCAGTATTATTTTGTATGGCCAAGAAGGCCAGCATATATTGCATTTTTCAGGCTTGGGGCTTCAACGCTTAACATAGTGCGCCACACGGCCAGTTGTGGTTGTGCTGTCATGTACACATCATGTGGGCATTTGGTTGCTTCTGATTTGTCTGACTCATCTAACACAATTCTGTGTGATTAGGTTAACTTCCCCACTTAAAACTTGTTATTGACAGTGTAGGCTAAAATAAAAACTGTAGCTCTTGTGAATTGAATATTTTACTCTTTCAAATTCAGATTTCGCTATAAAAATGATTCATCTTTCAGCCCAATCTTCAGAATCAGATTCATTGGCCAAGTATGTTGACACACACCAGGAATTTGGTTGCAGTCGTTTGTGTCTCACTAGTATTAAATGCAATATACAAACATTCATTCATTCATCAGTCACTTATCCTCCTGGGTTATGGGGGGTGCGGTTGGGAGGGGGGGTTGCTGAAGCCTATCCCAGTGGTCATTGGGCGGAAGGCAGGAAACACCCTGGACAGGTCTCCAGTCCATCTGAGGGCACACATACAGACACTCACACACTCCTTCGCACCTAGTGGCAATTTAGCATCTCCAATTGGCCTGACTGCATGTCTTTGGACTGTATACACAGTATGCAGGCAATATGCAGACTATGGACAAGTAATATACAGACAATTTATGTATTATTTCCTACACAATATACAAGCAACATACAAATTATATAGGGGCAAGCAATATACAGAAGTCTGTATGGCAGTGCAAACAACAGCAATCTACATCATGTATGGGAATGAAATTGTGGTGCACAGTGGTATGAATCTAAAGCAGGGTAGCTATGGACCAGCAGATGATATT